TTTCTAATACTTTTCATTTAGATATATTTTTTTACAATTTTCTGACATGAAAGGAAATTAATTTAAGCAACACTACTAATATTGCAGCTTACATAAAAAATGTGACATCATTGCAGGTGTTAGATTTCTTAAAACCCCAAAGTGGACACCACCATCAAGAGATTACTCCGGAAGAGGACAACACTCAACTTGATCCGAAAGGAAAAAGGAACAACACTCAACTTGATCCGAGCGGTAAAAGGAACAACACTCATCCGAGAGAAAAAAGGAACACACTTTCAAATCTCTGTAAGGAGAGTTGGAGAAAGACTTGGGATATGTACTCACAGGATAAAGATAAAAACTTGCTACCCGTTATGGCCACAATGATAGCAGCGGCAACGTTCCAAGCCGGATTGAATCCTCCCTCAACTATCTGGGAAGAAGGAGTCCATCTTGATAATAAATGCATTATACCTACTCTAAATTACCGACACGCGGGGGATTTTTTTGGGTTAAAATCGTGCCCAGCTTCAAGATACTATGGTTTCATGCTGTGCAATACGCTTGCCTTTGCTGCCTCCATCGTCCTCATCCCTTTTCGCCAGCATAGAAGGATGGCACCACCTCTGACAATGATTTCCCTTTTCTTCTTGCTTTTTACTTACCTTACCTCTCTAGGCACCACTTCTCCTAGCGTATCTTTCTTCGGTTTTATCTATATTGTAATGGCACTTAGCATTTTTCTTCTCTTTCTTTACGTACCATTTAAATCAAGCCTTGATTGTATGCGCAAACGAAGCGGAAGAATCAACTTACAGCGAGATGCAAGTTCAGAAAGGCGGTAGCATGCGTAAGTTGTAATAGCAGAAGTAAATATATATACTTCTACTTATCATATGGAGTGCACCTCTGTTGAATTTAGTTTTTTTAGTTTGGTAAAGATTTCATGGCTCCGGTCTTGACTTTGGATGAGATTCAAGTGCTCTATTGCAAGCTTGCGCGATATCGTTTGGGTTTAGTCTAGCTTTTGAAAACCGGAACTACTATGTAAACTATTACTTTTTTAGCTTGATGTGTGGGTTTTAGTATTCTTCTTCCACTCTTACTTCTGTGAAGTTTGATGTATATGGCCTCAACTTTGAAATGTACTCTCGACAAAATATGCAGTGAGAAAGATATCAACTATGTATTTTATTATTATTATTATTAGTATCTTGTTATGTGATGAATATTTATTTTAAATTTAAATTTATTAATTTATTTATCTTTTATTTTGTAAAGGAGTAGCTTTTGATAGATTTTCTTTTTCCTGATCTTCTGCTATGCTTATTAATTTAAGTAATGATAAAAAAAAAAATTAAAGTAGAATATTATGAGTTTTAAAAAACTTAAAAAGTAATTATTAAATAATATAAAATTTATTTTTTTAATATTTTAAATGATATATAATTTATTATTATTTTATTAATTTATATGAAATTATTTTTTTCAAATGATGAGGGTGAGAGTTAAACCCACACCTATCAAACTTAACATAATATAGAAGAGAGGTGTTCTTCTCGTTTATGTGAAATTATTTGCTTTTACACGTTGATGAAATGCATAGAAGAAAGTAAGCATTATAATATTCTATGATCCTATCTCCTTCAATCGTGAAGGATGGACTCCAACTGCCCTCAACAAGAAATAATATTAGAAATAAGGCGTTGCACATAAAAGCTTGATAAGAATGAGATTCTTCACATGGACTAACACACATAAAATTTTTGAAAATGATATAATTTAATTGATCGAAAATTTTATTTTATTTTTTATTTTTATTTATCTCAAATTAAACATATATACTCAAAGTTTTAACATAAACTTAGTTTAAAAAAAAAAAACACTAGGGTTATGTTTAATAAGTGAAAATAATTATTTTTTTGATAAACTATAAAAATAAGTTAAATTTATATTTTTTTTAAGAAATTAAGAATAATTGAACTTTTATATTTTTTGATATATCAAATGGTTAATTACTAAATATGATAAAAGTTTGAATTCTTGAACTTGATCCCAAACAATGTTTTTTAATTAATGAGTATTAATTTGACTAAAGTTTTATAAATAAAAATAATTAAACCTTCATATTGATAAGTTTTTTAACTATATTAATAGATAAATAAAAAATATGTATTTCTTTCTTTTTTTCAAAGGAATATGTATTCTATAATTTTTTGTTAACATGGAAAAATAGATGTTAAAGCTTAATCTTTCTGACCTTGCGATAAAAATTTTTTAAATTTCACTTATTTTTATAATTTAATAAAAAAAAAAAAAAAACCACCGCAGTCAGCCAAACAACGCCCAAACTTTAGTCTTCGGTGGTGAACTCGTGATGTTGAATAAGACGCCACTTGTGCCATCAAAGACAGGCACTTATGGTCTTTGTTCCGATAAAAAT